GGGTGGGAGCCGGCGGCGGGGTCCGGGCTTGCCCGGGCGGGCTGTGAGTGAGACCGGCCGGGGGCGTGGCTGGGGAGACAGGACGGACGGACAGACAGACAGGAGTTATGGGGAGTTGCTGGGAGATGGACAGCCAGGGCAGGGGCGTGGCTGGGGAGAGGACAGACAGACAGACAGACAGACAGACAGGGCAGGGCAGGGGGACAGACAGACAAGGCAGGGGCATGGCTGGGGAGAGAGGACGGACAGACAGACGAACAGCCAGGGTTGTGGAAAGCTGCTGCTGGGGGGGATGGACAGACAGACAGACAGTTGTGGGGGATGGACAGACAAGGCAGGGGCATGGCTGGGGAGAGAGGACGGACAGCCTGGGTTGTGGAAAGCTGCTGTGGTGGGGGATGGACAGACAGACAGACATTGGTGTGGGGCTGGGCAGGAGAAGGGACAAACTGATAGGAGTGGTGGAAGGGGACAGACAGAAGGAAGTGGCTGGCAGGCTGCAGACGGGTGGGGGACAGAGAAGGGGCCGGAGTTTGGGGTAGGTGTGTGATGGGAAGATGGAGATGTGGTCCCTGAGGTAGATGGGGGACAGGTCTGAGTGTGCAGGAGGCCAGAGACATAGGGGGTGTCTTGGCTGTAGGTGGGGCAGGAGAGGGGATGCAGCAGAGATTGGTGCCGGGGTGGATAGACAGGCAGGCTGGGATCAGACAGAGATGGGTTTGGACCAGCCTGTGGTGTGTGGACAGGGCTTGAGGGGGCAGAGATGATAAACAACATCCAGGGTGGACAATCAGAAAGGGATGGGGTGGGGGAGTGCTGGCCCTGATGTGGACAGGTGGGCTGACTCTTTGCCAAATGAGGGTATAGTTTGTGGGTCTTGTTGGGTGATTCTTGTCTCACCTTATAGTCCGGTGATGATCCAGTGGTCAGTCTAGAACTTGAGACACCTCGCTCCCCTGCTACAGCCCCCTCTTGTTCCGTGGTGTGATATTAAGCAAGTCACTTAGTTGCTCTGTGCCTCCGTTCTCCCAGCTATAAAATGGAGACAATAGCACTCCACAGGGATGTGTGAGAGAGGATTAGTATTGTGAGGTTGTTGGATACTATGGTAACAGGGCCAAAAAGTATCATACAGTCTAGAGGAGGAAAGGAGTAGGGATAACATTTTGTGGGTAGGAAGCCAATGAGGGCTGAGCCCTTTCAGCCCCTTTATGCAGCAGGAGATGGGAGGGAAGGATGGGTAAGATTTCTAGAGCATCTGGCAAAACTTTGCTACAAATCCTGTGTGTTTGTGTCTTATTTTGTCACTGGGAAGGGTTGAGTGCACAAGAGGTGTATATCTGAGTACAAAAAATACAAATCTAGCTGGAGGCATTTTAAATAGGATCTAGGGATTGAATACAATAGAGACTTGTTCACTCGGTGCTCTACCTCTGTTGGCTGGCCAAGCAGAGAGGGAGGGGGAAACCAGGCCTGTTTGCAGCTAAAAAAGAAAGTAGGCAGCCAGAGCAGAAAAGCCGTTAGATGGAAAAGGGCTAGTAAGTCATGTGATAGTCCATCCCCTCTCTCTCAATGCACAGCTGGACTCTGCAACCTGAGCACAGCCTCACCCAGCCTGTGATTCATCACCCTTGATGAAGTCACTTCAGTTGGTGTTTTCCATGGTGGGGATAAAAGTTAGTTGCTTTTCATTTCAGCAAATGCTCAGCTACTCAGGACGTGACACATTCTGCCACTGTGGCTGTGGAAACGTAACGTTGATGTTGATGTTAAAAAAGTGACTTTTTTTTTTTTACATACAGAGCTCAATTAGGAGAATGTGGTTAGAAATACATATTTAAAAACTCTTGCAGCAGATCATTTTCCTTGTGGTTCGTTCAGTAGAGTCAATGAGAAGAAAGAGACCGGGTAATGTCAGTTTCCCGTTTTTGTGCATTGGCCCAGGGATGCAACATTTGTGCTGCAGGAGGCTTTGGAGATCGAGGGAGTGTGTATAACTAGAAGATTTTTACTAAGTGTTACGAAATATTTACATTTTTTAAAAACAAACTGTAAACTCACATGCATCTGACGAAGTGGGTCTTTGCCCACGAAAGCTTATGCTCCTACACTTCAGTTAGTCTATAAGGTGCCACAGGACTCCTCGCTGCTTTTGTAAACTCTTGTCCATGCTTGACCTACCCTCATCTCTCTTAAATTGTCCCAGATGAGCGTCTCACGGCTGACGAGATGGATGAGCAGAGGAGACAAAATGTGGCCTATCAGTATCTTTGTCGCTTGGAGGAAGCCAAACGGTGAGAGAGGATTCCAATGTGAAGGATGACTGATTTATTAGCGGAGCTCTGTGGGTAGAACCCTGCAAATCTGCGGCTGTCTGCTTTATATCCGTGGGTATCCACATCTGTGGCTGTGGATAGCCGTGGCTCACTTATAGATGCGGATACACAATTTGCATCTAGAACCCTGCAAATGTGTGGATATCTCTGGGTATCCGTGACTCCTTTTTCATCTACCAATTGGGGTTATGTTGACTTATTTTAACTGTCTTCTGTAGGACAGGTTTTGCTTTTTAATCAAACAGCATGTGGGACTTCTAAAGTCACTCCTTGAGGAATCTGGATTTTACAACACCGCCGTCTACACTGGTGGCTTCTTGTGCAAGAACATCTTGCGCAAGGGTTCACACTGCCATATGCGAGCTGTGCTTTTGTGCAAGAGCGACCATGGCAGTGTGGATGCTCTCTTGTGCAAGAAAGCTCTGATGGCCATTTTAGCCATAGGGCTTTCTTGCACAAGAAATCACTCCTGAGCGTCCACACTGCTCTCTTGCGCAAGAGCTCCTGTGCAAGAGGGCTTACACCTGTTAAAAAAAAATTTAGCTCTTGCGCAAGCCCTCCCTTACCACGCCGTACTGTACATTTCCTTGCGCAAGAGCGGGCGGGCAGTGTGGATGCTCTGCGGATTCTTGTGCGAGAACGGCCATACTTGCACAAGAAGCCGCGAGTGACGTAGCCCCAGTGTTGGTCTGAATGGGCTGATCTGTTAGAACGGTGGTGGCTTCTAGGGGAGGGGGAAGGATCACGCAAGGCAACAGGGAAGGGAGAGAAACTGAAAATGACTTACAATGCTTCCCAGGCAGCCTGACCCTTCAAGGTGGCCTTTGCTGTCGGTCTCTCCAAATGCACATGCCTCAACTAGATAGCTTTAGAGCAGGGGCAGGGAATCTTTTCTAGGTTGGGGGTCGCTGACCCTTAGAAAAATCAGTCAGGGGCTGCACACAAGTGAGAAGCAAAAAGGGGGGGAAAAACCCCACCAAACCCTCACTGATGTGGCCCCTGACTGAGAAGGAGAAAGACGCTCCCCGCATTCCCCTCACACACCAGAACCTAGGGGGCCCAGGGTAGTAGAACTTGTGTGCTCCAGCCCTGCAAAGTGATAGCATGCGGGGGAGGGGAGGACGACACGGAGGGTGCTAAAGCACCAGCATGGGCTCCACATTGCTGGAGGGGCCCTGAGCCTGGATGGCTGGATCCAGGCAAGCCTGGGGCTGCAGGCAAGCCTGGGGCTGCATCCAGCCCCCGGACCTTAGGTTCCCACCCCTGCTTCATCGTTATCAACAACGCCTTTTTCCTAGCTCTTACTTTTATGATAAATGCAAAGGGGAGGGGAGGGCACTTTTTTCAGGTTTAAAAGAAAAAAAAGGGTGGCCAATGAAGGATGTTAAGAGGCGGGTAATTGACTAATCTGTAGTCGATACTATTTGCATTGGCTACGTACACAATTAGTCGAGAAGGGGAGGTGCTCTGTCCCGGCTTGCGCCCGTTCAGGCGCTATCCTCCCTGCAGCTCTGCAGTTTAAATGTAGTAGGAGCTGGGTGCGCAGGCAGCTCTGATCCTATTATATTTTAACTGTAGAATTGCA